GGAGAGAAACAAAGAATATTAGTGCAAAGGGTTAGACAGAAATTCATGGCAAATAATAAAATAGTGAAAAAGAAAAATTAAGAATTTGGACGTTTATTTAACATTATTATTATTATTATATTTTAAAAAAAATTTAATTTAAAAAGAAAATTAATTTGATTTTGAAAATGTTTTGGGTTGATTTTGAAAAAGATCTAGCTTTAATTTTGAAAATGTTTTTTAGTTTTAATTTTAGAAAAAAAAATTAGTTTTTTAATTTAAAATTTAAAGAAATATTTTAGTTTTTATTTAAGAAATGTTTTAATCTTATTTTAAAAAAACTGTTTTGGTTTAACTTTAAAAAAAACTGTTTTAAATTTTAAAAGAGTGTTTTTAGTTTAATTAGAGAAATAAACGTTTTTTTTGGATTTTTATTGAAAAGAAATTGTTTTTATTGAAAAGTAATTGTTTTTATTAAAAAGAAATTATTTTTATATTACCAAATGCTCTTATTCTAGAAATACAAAAAAAATATTTGCAAAAACATTACGTTAGTTACTTAATTAACAAAACATTACGTTAGTTATTTAATTAGCAAAACATTACGTTAGTTACTTAATTAACAAAACCTTACGTTAGTATCTATAAAAACTCAAACCAATTAATGATAATAAAAATGGAAAAAGAAAAAAAAGAAATAAGAGAAAAAAAACAAAAGATATAAAAAATAGAAAAGGACAAGAAAATAAAACTGAGGCATAAACGAAAAGAGGTAGGTTTGGCATTTCATTTCAGACTTTATCTTTCCAAAGACCCAACTTCTTCTTCTTCTTCATTGCGCCGCCATAATCTTCTCTTTTTCCTGTAAAAAAAAAAGAATAACAGAAACCAAATATGATATTGATGAAATCTTACGAGTTACGATTTGTTGGTGATTCAGCCGGTGATGAAGCTTTGAAGGTTTTGTCAAAAATCCCCCCTCTTTTGATAAGTCGTGAGAACGGCCGCCGTTTTTCTCTTTTGTCTCCTCCTCCCTTTTATCAAACACAACTTATGTTTATATAGGTAACAAATTAGGGTTAACTCTAACCTAATGCCCACTTTAAATCCCAACTTAAATAATTAGTCAAAGCTAAAAAAAACAAACTAAAACAAACTTAAAAAAATAAAATATTTTCTAATATTTTTAATTTTATGATTTTTGGACGTTTTTATGAATAATATGGAAAAAAGTAAAAAAATAATATTTTTTAAAAAATAATTTAAATAAAATACGAAAATAATAATTAAATAATAAAAAAACTATTTTTTTTTTATGAAAATAGAAAAGTTAGAATAAAAATAAAAGAAACAAAACAAAAAATGAAGAAGGTAGGATTCGAACTCTCAACCTCTCACACTCACAACTCCTTACACAGGGTCTCTTGCCACTTGTGCTATTTTATTCATTCAAAATAAAGTGGCACTAGAAACCCTGTAAACTAAAAGAGCGCGCCACATAATATTTTCTTGCAACAATCAAACAACTGCACCACCCGTTAGTGGTTAGTTTAAACGCAATGCACAATGAAATGGGATGCAAGATGAAACGACTAATCTTAGGGCAAAATTTGGGGTATTACAACTATCTCAGAACTTCACTTGGGCAGCTCAAACAAAGGAGATCCCCGAACATGAAAACAAAAAAACAAACAAAAAAATCAGAATATCTCAAAAATCTCTGAAATGAAATTATTGCAGAGTGGACAATTTCCCTTAGCCACCATAAGCTACCTTGAACACATCCTGCAGAAACTGTGAACACTAGGTGCGAAAGCAGCACCCTTGTGTTCACCGTGCAAATACAACAAGTGCCTTCCATAGCACCTTCTCCAAGCTCACCATCTTCACCTTTATCATCGTCATCAAAGTCTTCATCATCACTCAATACATACCTTGACCCTTCTAATCCCATCTCTCTATCAGTCTCCTCCAGTAAGTCCATTAGCAACATCATTGCTGGATGCCCTCCTGAAGTCTCTGCATCTGCCGCTGCTGCAGCTTCCGCCGCCTCCTGTGTTGCCACTGCCTCCCTAGCTCAAAGTGTCCTCCCTGTGTCTGGGTTCTTGTTGTCATTGTCGGATTCATCCTCATCGAAGCTGTCCTGAAAAGCTACCACACATCCTCGGTGAAATGGCTCCGATGACACACTGGTGGAATTTCGTCGTGAGAGTTATGGTCGGAGATTTCCCCCACTAGGAGAATTGTCTGGGGAGTTGGGGGAGAAACGGGTGGAGCTGCAGCGAGTGAACTGAGGTTTACTGGTTGGAGCATTGTTTCCCACCGATGGGTCAAGGTCGTCCACTTGGTGAGTCATGGGCTGGGTTGACATGTCTGAGTTGTAGTGGGATTTTATTTGAACCGAGTCGCGGCGTCCTAATTGAGAAAAACTTCTAGTGTTTGGATTTTGGACAGGGATGTCTGAAGTTGGAATATGAATTGATGATGTCCAAGCAGAGCCAGCTTCGCTTGAGTCAAAGCTTGTCCTTGAAGGCTTTCCAAGATCTTCCAACAAAAGAGAAATTGTTACCAACACAACTTTTAAAAAAAGAACAAAACAACATAATCTTAAAACTAAAGTGTTGCTAAAAGATGATTTTAGTACCTACGGTCTTTTCTGTTGGTATCGTCTTCTCTGATAATGTCGAATAAGGTTCGACTCTTTGATGGAGGTGGTTGGTTAGGTGTTGTTGCTGGATTGTCTAATCTCCTTTTGGCTAATACGTCGTCAAGAGTCAAGCCGGTAAACTTCTCTCGATGATTCTCTGATGCTGACATTTCCTCATAAAAGCATTATCTTCTGGCTACCTTCAATGTTCAAAATACAGGCACAAACTATAACATCTAAATTATAGCTTTAAGGAACAAAAATTACATATAGGGTTCTAGGGTGCACAAAGCTTGATTTTATTGTGTTTTTATCATTGAGAGAATTTTGTTTTGTTTTCCTTTCTTGTAGAAGTTTTTGACCGAACAAGAGGAAGCAAAACGTAAGGCATTCAATGCATGCACATTTTTCCCGGGGAAAACTCTCTTCAGAGAAAATGTAAAGGCTAATTTGGAGTGAGATACAAATGTGTAAAATTCCATGATTTTCAAAGATTGTTATATATAGTAGGATTTGAATCCAATAGGGGGACCTCACCCCGTGTACCATGAAAGTGGCCTTTAATCTAATCACCTTTGTTGCGGTTTTTGTTACTATTGAAATTTATCTCTTTTTAAGTTTGTTGTTCTGTAGTAAAATTTAAAAAGTTGATCAATTTTTTTTATGAGAAAAAGTTTTTTATTAAGAAGCAAGGGCCTGAGCAAAGAAACCCTGAGGGTCAAGTAAGAGGTATTCCCCTAATCAAATCTTGGAACCCAAAACTTTTCCAACTCTCACTAGAGTATGAGCAAGGAAATTTTGGTTTCTACTTATATGCATAACAGAACAGAAAGAAAAATTTCTAAAAAGAAGTCTACAATCCTCAACAATAGTTTTAAAAGAGCAAAATTGGATCAAGATGGAGGATTTGAAATGACTCTAAAGTGTTAGTTCTCAAGGATAGGTGGATCCCTGGCAATCCTAGTTTCAAGATTCTGCAGCAAGGTAATGTTTTGGACACTGAAATAAAAGTATGTGATTTAATTGATGAGGATACTGGTCGTTGGAAGGACTTAATTTTCTCTTTCTTGGGGCATGTTGAAGCGACCAGATTGTTGGTATTCCCTTATCTCAGAGAAATATTGATGATGAGCTAATCTGGCATTATGAGAAAAATGGTAATTATTCTGTGAAATCAACTTATCACCTGTACATGAAGGATCGACTTGGTTCGAGCCCTAACACCTCTAACGACCCTCACCAAAATCTTTGGAAGCTTATTCTAGAACAAAATTAAGAACTTTTTATGGAGATTGGCAAGGAACATTCTACCTTCAAGAGAAAATCTCAGAAATAAAGGTTTCATTCTCGATTCATCTTGCGCCTTCTGCCACTCTAATTCTGAGATTGTTGATCACATCTCTCTAGATTGTGTCTTTGCAAAACAAACTTTCTGTTGTAAATATTAGACTGTAAATAGTAATTAGTAGTATTAGTAATGAGGCCCATTAGTCAAAACCCTTTAGGTTTTCTATTCTCTCTTATTTAAAGCATGTAGTTGCAACATTGTAAGCTGAACTTTTAATTCCATCAGTGAAATATTTTACAACATGGTATCACAACTCCTGTTTTTTGACGGTGTCGCTTCCGCATAAACCCTAGCCGCCGTTGTAACGGAGTTTTTTTTCTTTCTTTAACTGCAGGTCATCCTTGCAGTTTTTTTTTGGGTGTTTGGATCATTGATGTTCTGTGTTGCAGCACATTCTATTTCTTGGCTTTGCTTCACATCTCTCACTGTTCACTCATCTTTGCAACCCTACACTGCTTGTTTTTTTGTTGTTGATATTTTGTGTTTTTTTCTTTGTGATTCTATACATATATGTTGTTTGTTCCTCTCGATTGTCCCTTCAATGGCCGAGATTATGAACGAGCAGCCACCTTCGCCTCCACCTCCCATAAATCCACAATTCCCGTTTAATGCTAAGGATTTTGTCGTTCAAAAAGGTTACTAGCTCACCGAAAAAATTATTTTCAATGGTCTCAGTTCATCAGACACACTCTAAAATGTTGTGACATGCTAGATCATATTGAAGGCAATCCTCCTCTGGTTACTGCTCCTAATTTCCCTTCCTGGGATAAAGATGATTATGCTATTATTACTTGGCTTTGGAACTCCATATCTCCAGAAATTAGTAGAAATTGCATGTATCTCTCAAGTGCAAAGGCAGTTTGGGATTATCTTCGTCAAAGTTATTCCATGAAACAAGATATGCCTGCTTGTTATGATTTAAAGAGGAAAATCTTCAACATTAAGCAGGGAAGTCTTTCGGTCAACGATTACTTTGGAGTTCTCAATGGTTTTTGGATTGAGTTGGATCAATATCAGAATTTGAAGATGGAGTGCAACAAGGATACTGCCACCTTGAATACTGTTGTTGAGCGGGATAGGATCTTTGATTTCTTAGCAGGCCTTAATGCTGAATTTGACCCTATTCGGGTGCAGATTTTGGGTAAGGAAAAATTTCCTGATCTTAATGAAGTTTTTTACACTGTTCATAGTGGATCGCCATCCACATTCTACTATTCTTTCAATGCTGGTGGCGTTCATTTTATTATGCTTGGCGCTTACATTAACTATGATAAAACAGGTATTTTCCTGTTTTACCCTTTATTTACTATTCAGTTATATGCCTTGCATTGATTTATTTATTTTTGGGTTATTACTCAAAGTATTGTTTTTGTTAGCAATGATTTTGTATCTTTGGTTTGAAAGATATAGGCCAGAGGGAAAAGAAATTAAAAGTAGAAAATGAACTTTCTTGCTTTGACTTGGTGGCTATTGTCTACTGATGGATAGCAGATGAAAAAAAAGTAAAACAGAATATTGGAGTTTACTGTATTTATGGAAATACTCTGGCCTGTATATTCTCAGTGATAGCAGGATTTATATTCTGGAATACAAGATAGGAAATGTAAAATCAATAAAAGATCAACTCTTTCTCATAGACTGATTTGTTTGGGGCCCTCTTAGATAATGTTTGTTCATGTAACCAATAGATCTTTCTTCGTGCATTAATACTGACCCTACCCCTTTTCCTAATTATCTATATCAAAGTTTTTTCAAAAGTTGGAACTGCAACACTAGAGTTGTTGGTATTTCAGTTTTAAGCTACTCCAAGGAATCTTGAGCTTTCCTTTCTGGTTTACAATTGTCGTACTTAACTTTCGTGTAAGAGGACAGACAATTTTCACATAATTCTGCATAAACTTCTTCTAATAAATTGTTAGCCCCAAGAACCTGTCAATCCTTTATGTCCACCGAGGTAGGCCAATTTATCATATCCTTAGTCTTCTTTGGGTCTGCAGAAGTTCTTTCTCGCAAATTAAATGCCCCAAGTACTCCATCTGCCTTTGATAATATCTCCTAACTGTTGCATTCACTTTTAAGTAATAACACAAAGGATACAAAATCATTGACTTTATAATATTTTCCATTTCCCTGCCTTGTTATATGAGAAGCTTATCACATTGGCAGGTGAACAATACAGGTGGCTGGAGAGAGATCTGGCTAATGTTGATAGATGAATGACTCCCTGGCTTGTAGCTACCTGGCATTCACCATGGTATAGCACTTATGTAGCTCATTACAGAGAAACAGAGTGTATGCGGGTGGAGATGGAAGAGCTGCTATACTCGTATAGTGTGGATATAATATTTAATGGACATGTGAGTTATTCTAAACCTAATAAATAAAAGGATTACAATCCACTTAAGTTTGGTATCGTACAGATAATGAAGTATCGTAGGCATACATGAAAAAAAAAATTTGAAAAAGAAAAGTTTTATATTAATAGTGAAGGGCCATTTTATTTTTTCTGAAGCTGATTAGAACATTTATTTTAGTTGATTCGGGTTTAATTATTAACTTTAACCGATCTGCTTCTCGCCTATATTCACTACAAGCAGGTTATAAAGAGGTTAGCAATAAAGCATATAGGCACTGGTAGTCAAATATTTATTGATTTAGGGCTAAGCCTGTGCTTTTCTATTTTTCCCTAAAATGATCACCAGGTTCATGCATATGAGAGGTCCAATCGAGTTTATAATTATACATTAGATCCGTGTGGTCCTGTACATATTGCTGTTGGGGATGGAGGTAACCGAGAGAAGTTGTCAGTTCCATTTGTAGACGAGCCTGGAAATTGTCCTGAACCATCAACTACTCCTGGCTCTTATATGGGTGGCTTTTGTGCAACCAATTTTACATCTGGCCCGGCAGCAGGTAAGTTTTGTTGGGATCGCCAAGCAGATTACAGTGCTTTCAGAGAGAGTAGCTTTGGCTATGGAATTTTCGAGGTACCATTCCCTGCAAACACAACCCCTTGTACAGTACAACATAGCATGGTAGTAGAAAAGTTACATTCAATAAATTGTTTCACAAGTTATGTCCCAGTGTATATTACCTGGAAAACAGTTAAGCATTCAAACTTCTGCTATATCATTTTAGGTTCTGATGCTATGAAACAATACTCATTAGCAACTTACATTATACCATACTTGGATTTATCACAAAGTAGAACTTTGGTTTGCATTTGGGCATTGTTTACAGTAGGGGAAGAGAATGGAAATTTTGCATAAAGGAAAGAAAACACACTTCTTACCAAACAATCCAAAAAATCATTTCCTTTTTTACTCTCTTTGTTTTCACTTTCCTTTCATTTGGAGACCAAACAAGGCTAGGATATATCATTTTCCAGCAAAGGCATCCCTGGCTCTTAAATAGTTGCAAAATCTAATTTGGATTTTTGAAATATAACCTCAAGCTCAATTGAGCCTTTAGCTCATAGAACCTTTAATTGACTGAACATGCATAGGGACTCATCTCTTGCTCATATCTGACAGTGTGTTTAATGTGTTATACACAGGTAAAAAATGAAACATGGGCTTTGTGGACTTGGTATCGCAATTAGGACTCTTACAAGGAAGTTGGAGATCAAATTTACATAGTAAGACATCCTGATAAATGTCCTGTTGGTCAGAGGGCGTATAGCAATTGCGTTGCTTCATTTTAAGAAACGTGAATAGTACATTAGAAGTCATTGATGAAAATGTCATTGTAGTTAAATAGGTAAATGTAAATGTAAGTACTCTTGATTGACTGCATTTTGTGGCAAAACATTAGTGTATGTATGTCATGTCTGATGTTGAGACATTCATAATATGGACTGTGCAGGGTAAGTTAACTAAGCTAACTATAAGTTAAGCTGGATGTCATATTCAATGTTATGACATAGGTCGTATGACATCAAGCGCAGGTTTCTTATTCTGGTAGCTAGAACTCAGGAAACAAATCAGAAACTCAAGCTGGGATTCAGGAAATATTTTAGAAGCCCTAAGCGAACTAAAATGTCCCTGAATGAATTGGCAAGTGGGCAGACAATTAAAGAAGAGGTTTTGTGATGAAAAGCCGAGATTGTGCGCCCAGGCCCAAGGACTGATCTGCTGCTACAAATAACAGGAGAAGCAATCCTAGAAGGCAGCTGTTGAAGATAGAGAAACAGAGAAATCACCATAGTGGTTTAGAAGTGAAGAGGTTGTTCTTCACGTTTGTGTCTTAGGAACACTTGTAATCCAAGCAACTGTTGATTGCATTGGTTAGGTAGTTTCTAGGCTGTCTGTCACTCGAAGTTGTTAAGCAAGAGTGTGAGTTCTTTGATCAAAGCTTTGAAGCAAGATTAAGGTGTGTGTAGTTGAAGTGTTTCTTCTTACTACTGTTATACTTGTAAGTGTTGTTGGATATCACTGAGGTGGTTGTGGGGAGTGAGTGGGTATACTCAGGTCTAGAGTGTCTCTAGGTTAAATTGTCATTGGGTAGGTTTTAAGTGAGGAGTGCAAACTGGAGGTTTGACTCTGAATTAATTCTACTGATAGTGAAATTTCTCCCTGCCTTGGTAGCCCCCAGATGTAAGTGTGTTGCACTGAACTGGGTCAACAACCAACTGTTTTATTTACTGCTTTATAATTACTGCATAATTGTAGGTCTGTACTGAATGTCACAGTGGATGTTATAACTTTTGTGAGAACATCCATCGTGAGCTAGCCAGAATTTTCAATTGGCATCAGAGCATGCACCCTGCCTGTTTAAACTGGGTGAGATCTAGGGAAAACAAATTCTGGTACAATGGATAAAGATATTGGATTCCCCAATAGACCTCCAATTCTGGATGGTTCTAATTATGACTATTGGAAGCCTAGGATGATTGCATTCCTAAGGTCCTTAGACAGCAAAGCTTGGAGAGTTGCAAACTCTGGCTGGGAACATCCTATGAAGACTGAAAAGGATGGAGTATATGTGCAAATTCCTGAAGTGGAATGGACCAAAGAGCAAGAGGCATTGGCTCTTGGAAACTCTAAAGCATTGAATGCACTCTTCAATGGTATAGACAAAAACATCTTCAGACTGGTCCACCACTGTGAACTAGCAAAGGATGTTTGGGATGCTCTCAAAACCACTCATGAGGGAACTTCCAAGGTAAAAATGTCTAGACTTCAAATGCTGACCATAAAATTTGACCACAAAATTTGAAAGTCTAAGAATGAAGGAAGATGAGACCATTCATGACTTTTATATGAATGTTCTTGAACTAGCTAACACCTCAGGAGTTTTGGGAGAAAAGATGGCTGAAGAAAAGCTTGGAAGGAAGATTCTAAGGTCATTACCTAAAAGGTTTGCCATGAAGGTAACAACCATTGAAGAAGCTCGAGACATATGCCACATGAAGGTGGATGAACTCATTGGTTCACTCCAAACCTTTGAGATGGGGATATGTGATCAGGTTGTGGAGAAAAAGAGCAAAAGTATAGTTGTTGTCTCAAACAGTGCGCTGAGGATTCAGATGATGAAAAAGTGGAGAATCTATCAGAGGCAATAGCCATGCTTGGAAGATAGTTCAACAAACTGGTCAAAAGGATAGATGCTAAGTCTAAACCTTATTCCAAAAGCTTGCCTGCTGACAAAGAAAAATCTGAGGAGAAAGTCAGTACACTACAATGCCATGAATGTGAAGGGTATGGACATATCAGAAAGGAATGTCTAACATAACTCAAGAAGAAGGGAAAAGGCCTGACTGTCACATGGACTGATTCTGACAGTGAATCAGGAGAAGAAACAGCTAAACATGTCACTGCACCCACTAGTGTGTACATATCTGGTGGTGATTCAAGTGAAGAGGAATTGATTTTTGAGGACCCTACAGCCTCATATCAGAAGCTTTACATCAGAAGTGTAGAACAGTACCAACAAGGAGAGCTTCAGAATGAAATCATCAAGGTATTAGAAGCAGAAAAGAAAGAGCACCTAGCCACAATAAACACACTCAGAGGTGAGGTAAATGATTTAAAATATGATAAGGATCAAATGGTTACATCCATAAGGATGCTCAACTCTGAGACTGACACCCTTGAGGAAATCCTTCAGAGTGGTCAGACTGCAGGAAATAGGTCTGGTCTAGGATTTGTTGAGAAACAAAATCCTTTCTTGAAACTCAAGAGGTTGCAGCCTGAGATGCAAATGTTACAAAGGATGTCACGACCAAAGACACAACATCCAGCACACAGAAACTGGAATCAAGTCAAGAGAAAATTCCAAAGGCATAGATGTTACCACTGCGGAAAACTTGGGCATATTAAAGCTGTGTGTTTCTGGCTGAATGGATTCCCTAGCCAAGGAAAAACCAAACAGGGTATGCATTGCAAAAGGCAGCATCATGAAAAATGGCTGCATCAGGGCAAGAGGCATCATCATGCCAAACCCATGAGGAAGGTGCCTAACAAGCAAAGAAAATGGGTTGCCAAGAAGGTTGCACAAATAGCTCATACCTCTCTAAGAGTATCAGCTAAAGAAGACTGGTACTTTAATAGTGGCTGCTCCAAGCACATGACTGACATAAAGAATTTGTTGGTAGACATCAAACCACATTCCACCAGTTATGTGATCTTTGGTGATGGAGCAAAAAGAGAGATCAAAGATGTTGGCAACTGGAATACTCTGGAGTCCCTACCCTAGACAATGTGTTGCTGGTGAAAGGGCTAACTGCCAACTTGATCAGCATCAGTCAGCTCTGTGATCAAGGACTGAGTATGAAGTTCTCTAAAGAAGAATGTGTGGTCACAAATGATGGAAATAAAGAAGTCATGAAAGGACGTAAATCCAAGGATAAATGCTATCTGTGGCAGCCTCAGGACACTAGTAAATCCACAATTTGTTCTATGGCAAGAGAGGAAAAGGAAGTAAAATTGTGGCATCAAAAACTTGGACATCTTCATCTAAGGGGAATGAAGAAGATCATATCCAAGAAGGCTGTGAGAGGGATACCTAAACTAACTATTGATGAGGGAAAAATTTGTGGGGAATGCCAAGTGGGAAAACAAACCAAGACTTCTCATCCTAGGGTTGGACATCTAACCACCTCCAGAGTTCTGAAACTAATGCACATGGATCTGATGGGACCAATGCAAATAGAAAGCCTTGGTGGGAAAAGATATGCTTATGTGGTGGTTGATGATTACTCCAGATTCACCTGGAT